CATTATGCATTTCATTTATGTCTTTTTACATAGTTAGTTTTGGAGGGAAACATTAATTTCCTCACCAGCACGTAAGAATTTGTCAAATCAAACGGAATAAGTAACAGTAGTGGTTTAGTCCCAAACCACAAGTGGTGTAAGTGGCTATTTCCAAATGGTATGGGATAAATTGCAACTGGCCCAAATTATAGGGGGTAAAGGGGATTTTGGTCATTATTTTAAAGTTATGATTTTTTATTTTTATTTATACTATTATTCAAAAAAAAATGGTATCATGATATTTATTATGTCAATGAGACTACATTCACCATATTTTTACATCATGTTTTATTTACTATCTAATGTTGACATACATAATGATTATTGTAATAGTATCCGTATAAGTCTCATATTTATATATATATATATATTCAACTATTAAATCATTTTGCATACTAAACAAAAAATAGTATAAAAATATGACAATTACATAATTAATTATTTTTTAAACAAATATTTTGTTGTTGATAAATCTTTTTTTTTTTGAACAATTTTATATAATAATACATAATTTTTTTTTAAAAAAAAATAATCAAAGTTCAGTGGGTTGCATTGAACCCACTATTTTATGCATTGCACTGCCCATCATCCATGGCCGCCTCCAATACAAAATCGTATCTTCCACTATGAATGTCATTCTCGCTAAAGCAACTCTTCTTCTTCTTCTTCTTCTTCTTCTTCTTCTTTTCATATATATATATATATATATATATTAGGTTTTGCTGGTGCATAGTGGTATGGCTATGAATATATGACAAAGGCAACAATGACAGTGATATCGTCAACTTTGCCTCCTATGCATGAACACCCTGCCTTCCTAGTTGCCTGGGCAAAAGGCGTATCAGCGTACTTGTCAAACGAATTGTACAATGCAAGGTTGGCAAGCAAACAAGCCAATTGTCGTGGGCCTTTTTAGACACCATGGTTTATGATCTCTTTAATCTCACTTTCATGCAAGTTGTCAAGCAAGCCATCTGTTCCAACTACCACAATGTCGTCTTCTTCAACTTCCACTTCCACTTCCAACTCCTATTTAAAGTGTAAATTTATGAAATTTAGCATAATAGGAGATGATAAAAGAGAAAGGTGAAAAACACTGATTTAAGATTTATTAATTTACGAACAAGCTTGGAATTCAATTAAGATATATATATCTATAGATCAATTCATGAACCATTGCTAAACTTGGATGGTCCTTGGTATTTCCCAATTGATATGGACAGTTGAAACTCCGTTGTTGAACCGGTGAATGATATATGACTTTGCCATGTCGAATGAGCATAAATCCACTGTCTCCAATATTAATTACACGCAGGATCTGCACAAACAAGCAATATAATAAATTTTATATATATACTAAAAAGTTATGCACAAACGCAATGCATGCATAGAAATGAAAGCAATAGTGGTAGTGGCCTTAAAAATGACACTTCAAGTTCTAGTACAAGTGACAATTGAAAGTGGAGGAATTCAAAAACAAAACAAAAATTAAATTAATAAAAGTGCAAATTTAAGATACTAATTACAATTAAGCCAAAGTAAAAGTAAAAGATGAGTTGCATACATGTCCATCGAGAGTAATAATGCAAGCTGTGGATGATACTTGCGCCTTAGTGTTTGAATAAGCTTCAAACAAAACCATTTTGGGGTTCACAGCTCCCTTAGGTTGGTTGTGAAATGCAATAAGAGAGTTAGTCATGAGCTGCTGAGCATATTTGCCTGCGTCCACACCCCTCCAAGTCCAACCACCAACACCATCTGCCAAGCCAATTGTTTGCTTCTTGGTATAGATGAAGTGAGCATCATCCCCTCGTGGCTTCAACTCGTCGTCCTTGGGCAGGTATAGTGATCCTGCTTCAATTTTTAGCCTTCTTTCACTATAGAAAACACTGCCCCAAATAACAATGAAATAAAATAAAATCGTCAGTTAAATTTTCTGTTTTTGGTAATATCGTCAGTTATATTTTCAGGCTTCAAAAATTAATGCGTACAACAAATCTTTAATTTAAATTCCAGAATGGTTCAAGAAGGTTTTTAGACTAGTCAAATTGTTATCTATTGGTAGCAGATATTTTAATATTATAATGTGTTATAGGTTTGATTTGTTTTCTTTTCCTCCAAGTTAATCCTTTTCTTGGTGACCAAGAATCCTCCAAGCAACTTCCTACACTTTTCCTCCAAGAATTCTCTAAGTCAAGTCTCCAAGTCAAGTCTTCTTCTCCTCCAAGAATTTTGTCCACTAAGTTTCCTCTTCTCCAAGGTACTAGCCCACCAAGCTTCCTCTCCTATAAATTGAGCCTTTCACCTCTCTTATTGTAGCTCAAGTTTTTTATTTGTGAGATTATCAGGCAAATAAAAAAGGGTGTATGTGTAAACCTTTGGGTTCAACCAATTGTGCAGTATTGGTTAACCATACGACTTAGTCGGGCTGTTGTATCCTGGGGGGGACAAGTCAAGGTTTTTTCTGCTGCACCGGTGTGAGGCTTTGTCTAACCTCAGAGGGCTTGAATCTCCTTAAAGAGAGCGAATTTCCCGTGCCTCAGCCCTTTCAATAATTATTGTAATTTTTTTTATTTGTATTTTCTAGTGTTTTATTTGTAATTATCACCAACAATTTTAAGGAGATTCAAATAGTAAAAATTCATAGAGCCAGTACTGGAGAAGCCCAACGAGAATACCGGTAATCTCAACAAGCCCTTCCAATTCAAGGGAGCCCATTTCAAGAGATGGAAAGGTAAGGTGCTTTTCTACCTTAGTCTCCTCAAGGTGGCCTATATCCTGACCGAGAAAATCCGAACAAAGTCCCTACTGAAGAGATGACCGACGAGGAGTATGCTGCTCATCTTGAAAAATTGAGAAATACAACACATATGAGTATAAATGTCAATATTATCTTTTGAATTGTCTTTCAGATCAATTTTATAATTATTATGATACTACTTACACCACTGCCAAGAAAATTTGGAAAGCCTTACAGAATAAAATGACACTGAATAGACAGGCGCTAAAAAATATACTGCAAGCTGTTTTTTCCGCTATCAAATGATAGATGGAAATCAGTGGTGGAGCAAGTTCAAGATTTTCAGATGCTAGTGGCTGAAGTTAGATCTGAAGGTATCAAAATTGAAGACAATCTTGTTGTAGCAGGTATTGTTGACAAACTACCATCATCCTAGAGGGAGTTCCAAAAGTCAATGCGTCACAAGAAAAGAGAGATGTCCTTGGAGACTCTAATCACACAGATTCAAGTGGAGGAAGCACGAGGACAAGATGCGCTTATGACACAAGAGCATTCCACTGCAAAGGTAAATTTAACTTCTGGAAATATTTTACCTAAAGGTTAATTTTATAAAAATAGTCACTTGAAGCCAGTTAAGAAAATCTAGAAAAATACTAGAAGGCCATAAAATAAAAATTATCCGAGGCAAAAGAAATGGAACCAAGATCTGACAAACGTGACATGTTTTGTGTGTGGCAAAAGTGGGCCTATTTCTCGAACTTATAAATTTCGAAAACAACAGTCTCAACCACAGGCTAATGTTACCGAGGAGCCATTTGTGGCTATGATCACATATATTTTTATGGTTCAATCTATGGAAGGGTGGTGGGCAGACTCTGGTGCCAATAGGTATGTCTGCTATGATAAAGATTGGTTCACAGATTTCACTTCTTTTAATGAGGAGAGGACTGTTATACTTGGTGACTCCAGTTTAACCAAGGTGCTCGGGTGTGGGGATATTGAGATGAATTTTACCTCTGGACGTGTGCTTGTTTTAAAAGATGTGTTGTATACACCGCCCATGAGGAAAAATTTGATGTCGAGTTATTTGCTCAACAAAGCTGGTTTCAAGTAGACTATTGAATCTGACCAATATGTAATCATTAAAAAAGGCATATTTGTGGGGAAAGGGTATGCCTGTGATGGAATGTTTAAATTAAATGTTGAGAATAAGAAAGCACATGTTTCTGTTTACATGCTGTCTTCTATGAATTTTTGCCATGCTCGTCTATGTCATATTAATAGCCAATATGTGGGCGACATGAGTAGTTTAGGATTAATTCTCACACTAACAAATAAGTTCGAGAAATGTAAAGTTTGCAGTCAAGTAAACATAACTAAAAGGCCTCATAAAAGTGTGGTGAGAAATACTGAGTTGTTAGAATTAATTCACACTGATTTATGTGAATTTAAAGGAATTTTAACACGTGGTGGAAATAGATATTTTATCACTTTTATTGATGATTTTTCAAAATACACTTATGTATACTTGTTGAAAAATAAAAGTGATGCTTTTGAAAAATTTAAAGAATTCCTTCTTGAAGTTGAAAATCAATTCAGTAAAAAGATTAAAAGATATAGAAGTGATAGAGGCCGAGAGTATGAATCTTTTGGATTCAACTTGTTTGCTCAGTCTTTGGGAATAATCCATGAAACTACTCCACCATATTCACCTACATCTAATGGTGTAGCAGAAAGAAAAAATAGAATTTTAATGGATTTAACAAATGCTATGCTAATTGAAGCAGGTGCTTCTTCAAATTTGTGGGGAGAAGCAATTTTAACTGCATGTTATCTTATGAATAGAGTGCCACATAAAAAAATAAAAGTTACACCTTTTGAGTTGTGGAAAGGGCATAAGCCAAATTTGAGATATTTGAGGGTTTGGGGTTGTCTAGCTTTTGTTAGACTTGTGGACCCTACAAGACCTAAATTAGGTGCGAAAGCTGCCACTTGTGCTTTTCTTGGATATGCAACAAATAGTGCAGCCTATAGATTTTTTGATATTGAAAACAAAATAATTTTTGAATCAGGTGATGCAATTTTTCATGAAGAAAAATTTCCTTTTAAATCTAAAAAAGTTGGGGGTCAAAATTATCAAGAAAATGTTTTATCTGAAACCGGTTCCTCTATTCCTCTTTTACAAAGCCAAGATACTGTAGTTTTTGAACCTAGAAGGAGTAAAAAAGCCATATTAGAAAAAGATTTTGGCCCTGATTATCATCTTTTTAATGTGGATGAAATTCCATTAACTTTACAAGAAGCTTTGGCATCTCCTGTCTCTGTTTTTTGGAACGAGACTGTAAATGATGAGAAGGAATCATTATTATCCAATAAAACTTGGGTTTTAGTAGATTTACTACCAGGTTGTAAAATTATTGGCTGTAAATGGGTTTTGAGAAAAAAACTTGAACCGGATGGAACTATTGATAAATGTAAAGCAAGGCTTGTTGCAAAAGGTTTTAAACAACAAGCAGATCTTGACTTTTTTGATACATTTTCTTCGGTTACTAGAGTTACATCCATTAGATTATTAATTGCAATAGTTGTAATTCATGATAAAAAAATTCATCAAATGGATGTTAAAACAGCATTTCTAAATAGAGACCTGGGTGAAGAAATCTATATGGATCAACCTGAGGGTTTTGTGGAACCCGATCAAAAAAGCAAAGAGTGCAAGCTAGTTAAATCCCTATATGGCTTAAAACAGGCCCCTAAACAGTGGCATGAGAAATTTGATTCCTGCATGATTGAGAATGGCTATAAAACGAATGAATGTGATAAATGCATCAACTATAAATCTGAAGGAAATTCACATGTCATTATTAGCCTCTATGTGGATGATTTACTTATATTTGGCTCTAATTTGCATATCATCGTGGAAACTAAAAATATGCTTAGTAGCCATTTTGATATGAAAGATCTTGGTGAGGCTAATTATATTTTGGGAATGAAAATTACCAAAACCTGTGATGGTATATTTCTTGATGAGTCGTATTATGTTGAGAAATTTTTGAGAAAATATAATTTTTATAAGTGCAAGCATGTTCTTCTTTTGATCCTCATGTGCGTTTATTTCCTATTGAAAATGATGAGGATGTAATTAATCAAAAGGAATATGCTAGTATGATTGGTAGCTTGTGTTATGTGACTGACTGTACTAGACCTGACATTACCTATGCAGTTGGAGTACTTAGCAGGTTTACTAGCAAGCCTGGTAGTGATCACTGGCTAGCCATTAAGCGAATTATGAAATATTTATCTGGTACCATAAAATATGACTTGTTTTATAATAAGTATCCTGCAGTACTTGAAGGTTTTAGTGATGCCAATTGGAATACCTTATTAGGTGATTCATTATCAACCACTGGTTACTTATTTACATTGGGAGGCGGTGCTATAAGTTGGAAATCGAGAAAACAAACCATTATTGCTAATTCAACAATGGAGGCTGAGCTTATTGTTTTAGCTATAGCTAGTGAAAAAGCAAATTGGCTGAGAGATTTGTTAAATGAAATCTCTTGTTGGGAAAAACCGATTCCACCTATATTGATTCATTGTGATAGCACCGCAGCAATTGGTCGAG